TTAATTAGCAACACCCTCAAGCAAGAACCTCCCCAGACTAAAACCCCAGTCCCCAAATTCCTCCAGCCACAACAGTGTGAATTCCTCAGGGAGGTGCCAGTCTCATCCTCTTGTTCCTCCCACGCAGTTCCGGTGAGCTAAGAAAATGCTTATCTCCCTGAGCTTGGCCTTCATAATTCCATTCCATCACAACACCTTAGCTAACAGTCACACTCCCCAAAAGGGGAAGACCAGACCAATAAATTCTGGTTACAATCAACTGTCTATAAAATAAGGCCCTCAAGCTTTAAAAGTCATCTCTATATACACTCAAAAACCCACAAGTACATATCCATTCACATCCTCCTTCTCCCAGCAGCAACATCATATAAGAAAAAAAGAGGATGGAGATGAAGAAATGGGAAGGCAACACAAGGCAAAGGACAAAAAAATTGGGGGGGGGGAGATGACAGGAGGGGAAGAAGTAACCAGGTAGAGAAGGAAAGAGAGAAGATCCATTTGCTTTCCACATGTAGACAGTGAGTATCTGTAATCAGGCAAGAGTTTCTGTTGCTGCCATTTCTGGCTCTTTGAGAGCAGGATCCTCAAAAAAATAAAAAGGAGTTCAGGGAAAGAAGAAATTATCCAGGCAAGGAATTCACACAGGTTTGTGTATGAGTCTTACTCGGTGAGATACTTGTGTCTACCTTCATCCCTCTCACATTTCAAAGGCAAGTATTCTGAGAAAATACGTAGAACCATGTAACCGAATGCTACAAAACAACGAGGTCAGTTCAAAGTTTGCCAAGAGCACTGCTGAAGTGAGGGCAGGAATCACAAATATGGAAGACAAGTATTAATCTTGCTTGGTAGTGCCTGTAATTGATACTTAGTAATGAAACAGTGTGAAGACCTGGGTCTCTAGAGAATCTATAATGCTAGGAAATGTGGAAACAGAAGAAGAGGATGATCAGCAACAAGGTGGAGGGACTCAACTGCAATGGTAATGGGTGCACTGGAGGGCCAGACTGAGGACAGATCATCCTTGTGGTTGTAAGAGTCAACATCAACTTGATGTCACATACTCAGTCAAAGAAATGAAACAATATGAAATGAACATGCCCGGAAATATTCACAGCTGATTAAACCAAAATGTGTTTGAGGCCTTTGAAAAGGCAAACATTGGTGGCCAATTTTCAAAGTGTCACCTTGGATCAGTCATCCCTGGGTGTGCTTTTATCGCACTGAAAATAATGTTTTCAGCACTAGCAACAGACTTTCCATAAATCTTGACATTTGTAGGCATAGATCAGTGACCTAGTAAATACATTCAGAGAAACATATGGATATTACTTTGTATTCATTAGCACCAGGACAAAAGAGATGTAAACATGCTGCTATTCTAGCTAATTAGCTTTCCACTCTTTTACAAAGATGCTAAAATAAGCTATACAAGATACTTTTCTCACTGCAGTATCTGTTATAATAGCCACATAAAGTTCAACAAAGCAGAACCCCTTTAAAATGAATGGCAATTGCCAAAGAGCAATGAACTGGGCCTATCCTGAATTTCAGAAAAGGAGGTATTCCTTCCAGTTTTGCAGGCTTGGCCAGCAAAAGCACGGCCTCTCTTTTTAAAGTTATTGATTATCTAAAAAAGAAGAGTCCTTTGTGA